AAGGTGGCACTTAGCAACGCCTGCCCCTTACCTTGCCAGTTCTGCTGAAGTGTGCACCATTTAAGCGATGATATGATTCACAAAATAAAGGTCAAGTCTACAGATAGGGAAAAACAGAACCCGAAGTGGGAGTGTGGAGTAGCTGCCACTCTGAAGGTAAGAGCTGGCCTCGAAGGGTGTCTTCAGAATAAAAGAAGACATTAAATACATCAGCAATGAGCACCAAGTGTTTGCCCGTGGGAGAAAAGAAGCTATACCACAGGAGCCAGGACTATCACCAAGACACCAAAAGTGGCGGTCATAACTCTCCGAACGCGTATCAGTGACAGGACAGTGTTTTAAAGTGCCATGATGTTTTCTATGTGGTGAGAGCACCCAGGCCTGCACAAATTTCCCTGTAACCCTAACTTGGGGCATGGCTGTCGGATAGCACCCATGTGAACAAGGCACACAAGGCACCGGTGTTGTCTGGGTAACGACACTGAGTGTGAAGCCGAGAAGTGCTGAGAAGTGCAGGAACGGAGGAAATCATTAAGCCCCTGGAGAACAAGAGCCGTGAAAGACGTTAAGTGGGTGGGATTATTTACTACTGAAAAAACACCAAGGGATGACTTCACTGTGGTTTTCAATACTGGGAAGGCGACCAGCTGTTCTTTCTCCTCTACACCCTAGACAAAAGAAAGCTGGCTTGAATTTCTGCAACAAAGACATGCATAGAACTATCTGATCAGCGGGGAGGTTACAGAATCTCCTTCGCTAAGGAGCCAGACTCTGGGACACAGCCTTGTGTCTGGAACAACTCAAGCACAGCCTGTCTTGAGTGCATGGGGGGAACGTGCTGGGTGATCTAAGCCTCTCCTCACCCTCAAATTCTGAAACTGGAACCAAACCCAACCGCTTACAGCCGACCAGCCTTCCTGTGGCTAACTTTCACCCTTGGATCTGGAAAAGTGGTGATTTGACCAGGGTGACCAAACATCCATGGGGACACCTGTTATCTCTCTCAACAACAGGAAATGCTTCTCTTCGTTTCCTTTATCACACCTCCCAACAGTCCTCGGCTACAGAAAAAGGATGATAGCAAAATCCAGTGTTGGGGCGCTTTACTGTATTCCCCAAATAAATTTCCCCTAACAGTATGTTGGCATAAGCTCAGAACTGCCCCCCACATAAATACATTATTACAACTAGAGTTGAACTATAAATAAGGCCCCCAAAGTCCAGGGGTTTAAATGCAACTGTTGCCTGCTTTTAAATGCAGGACAGTATAAATCTGAATCTGAAATTTAACAGCTGAGCTGCCTTTCTCTTGAGACATGAAATATAAAGACATAATCAAAACATTTCAAATGCATTCGGAATCATAGGGAGGCTGTGGGTTATGGTGCATGCATCAGGAGGCATCAGGAGTTCAAGGCCAGCCTGGGCTACATGAGAAGCAAACCATCAGGATCATATCAAGTTTCCTGGAGGAGAGAGCTAGCAGCAGCTTTTCCCGGGACCCCACGTATTTGTGATTACGGTGGGTGGTTTATTTCACATCTTACAAAGCAGAAGTCACAACCTGGCTGCCACTGTGCAAAATCAGATGCATCTACATGTTCTGTTGGTCCTGAATTCACTTTAGTAGTTTCTAAAGTTTAATTGCCAATGTTTTGCTTGCTTTTTAAACTTGGTGTGTGCACACACACGATACACACACACACACACACACACACACACACACACACACACACACACGCACGACATGGGTATCTGTGAGTGCCACAGCCAGCATGAGGAAGTGGAAGAACACAACTTTTAGAAGAGGGTAGGTTCACAGGACTAAACTTGGGTTGTTGGGCTTTGCCAGCGCTAGACATTAATAGCTTAAAAATCAGAAATTCTCAGCTTTTCTTGAAAACTGGGAAAAGCAGGAAATGCTGCGGAGACACACTCATCTGGAATGTTCCCTGCTCCTGAAGGCTGGACAGGGGTGCGGCAGAAAGGACACTCTCTGGTGCCCCAGAAAGCAGACTCTGCCAACTATGAGCAGCCATCCCCGACAATGGAAGATAAAAGAAAAAGATGAGAAACCTTCACCTTGGCATGGTCTACCTTTTCCCAATAGAGGCAGAATGTTCTTTCTTGTGTTGAGGTAGCTGATGATTTTGTGTTTTCCTTTCTTTCGCCTTCATGAATAAAATAGCTTCCCTACTCCTTCCGAAAAGCTCCCACAACCCTGCAATCCCATAGTCTGGAGGGGACAGTTCCCTATTTAGTTACTTACATAAAGGTCAGAGGACCTAAGATTAGAGGCTGTCAAGAAAACCAGTAACAAAAACAATCACGTGACTATGAAGAGGTAAGTCTGCACTTCAATCAGACATGAACTTGAACCCCTAACTTTCTGCATGCTGACTCCAGTGATCTCATGATCACTGAAGACAGCTTTCAGCTTCTGACCCAGGGCTGACTTCAGTTAGCACCTGCCTGCCAACCCAAAACTTCAGACCATAACTTTAAGACCCAGTCTCATTTTGACTCAAAATACTATTACCTGCCTAGGTCCCATCTGAATCCCTGGGCCTGGTCAAGGACGACTTCTGATTCATTCTAGAATCTATGTGCCCCAAAGTCCCAAGCCTCTGCACTCCTGTACCTGGTGAGGCCCCCTGAGGTGGTTCCTGTTACTTGGTGCCAACTGGTCAGAGAACACCCTCCCCCTCCCCCTTTAGCTAGGTTTCTCAGCATCAGCTGCACTTGTGGGACACCCACAGACACAGGGCAACAACTACCTCATCATTCTAGGCTTCCTGGTGCCCTGGTCTTAGCCTGGCCTCCTTCCCAGTGGACATCCTCTCTTTACCCACATACTGTTCACTCTCAGACCCAACCTCCTCTTGTTTTCCTACAGCATCAAAAAGCCTGTGGCTTGTCAGAACCTTTCTCTACTTCCATCTTACCATCTCTACCGTGGGGGACAATTTGAGTCAAAAACTGCAGCTCTGTTCAGAACAGACACTTCGCCTTAATCTGCAAGGCAATTCTCACTCCTAGCCCGAGTGATGAGGTGGAGGGGGGGACAGGGGCTGACTAATAAAATTTCACTTTATTACCCACTATCAGCTCATCCTGAGTTAAGCAACCTTACTGTAGTTTCATCACTTGGCACATTAGAATCTGAGTCTTCTGATCAGAAACATTCGTATTTCAAAATAAAAGCATCCAGTCGCTAACTCCAAACTGAAACATCACCTGATGATCCTGACTTTTTAGATTGGCATATTAGAAGGCTCACATGGTTTCCTTCCATTTTCCTCACCTGAATCCAGGCTGTGAGCTCTCTGCCTGGGCCTTGCTTAGCCCTAAGCCCAAGGCCCCATGCTGGCCCTACGCACTCTCAGGGGTCCCACATCCCATATGCAAAACTTAGTATCTCTCCTAAAAGTGGTTTCTTTGGGGAGTCTCCTTGGTGGGGGGGGGGCGCTAAAATATTTCTTGGCCTCAGCTTAAAAAGAAAAGAAAAGAAAAAAAAAAAACCTCTCTGATGATGTTCCCAGTGAATGGTCACACGTTAGCAATTTAGGCCCACTGATCTCCTTCAGAGAACGAAAGCCAAGACTGAGGACGGCCAGGGGAGTCTCGTGGAGGTGGGAGCTCTGTCTGCTCGGTCTGGATTCCACGGTGACAATGTGGAACGAACTCCGCTGCTGGGAGGCCTGGTTTTACAGTGAGGCCATCTCACAGCTCGCCCAGAGCAGCTGCTCTGTCCTCTGCCAGAGGACAGAGGAGCACGTTCTCCTGAGAAGCTGCCAGCCGCCTGTGCAGAGCAGGGAGGAAGCTTGCATCCAACACACACACACACACACACACACACACACACACACACACACACACACACACACACACACTGCTGCAGGAGCCGAGGCTTCCCTTCCCCTCCTGCTGAAAATGTGCCTAGAAGGAAAAATCCTGCCTCTTGCCTCCTCCACCCCACCTTGGGATCTCTCTCAGCATCCTCCTTAGCGTTGATCCTATCTGGTTAAAGAATGGGGAAATCCTTCACAGTTCCCGGCAGAATGCTGGGGAAACAGCCTGCCAAAATACAACAGCACTCATGATCACGGTGGAGAAGGATGCTCACACCAAATGCACCAGGGCGAGAGGATGAGGAGTTTCCACAGAGGAGACGGACACGTCACTATATACATCTAATTAATTAATAAACAGCATGCGAAGAGATGTTTTGCCTTTGGAAACAGAACTTCTGTACAAGAGTCATTCATAAAAATAGAGCATTTACTTTTGTAACAATCCCCTCCTTTCTGCTTTCTAAAAAGGAGGTTTGTCACTAGTCAAAACCACGTCAGCAGATTAACTGGCCACACCACCTCCCACACACTGTTTGTTGTATTTTAATCGATTCTGACCTCTAACATTCAGGACACAGAGCACCACAGCCAAAGCACAAACCACAACTTCCAATGACGCTGCCCAGCTGTGTAATAGTCCTTTATCTCCGTGCATCATCATCCGAGCTACAGAGCAGTAATTGTAACCCAGGGAAACTAAACAGGACAGCTGTGGTCCCCACATGCTGGCTCCTTAGATCCAGGGAAGACATCCAGATGCTGGCATCTTCTTCACATACGACGGTCAAGAGGGTCAGCCTGCTCCATGGATTCCATCCTGGTCAGCCACGTTTCCCAGTAATGTAGAGAAAGTTGTTTCATAAAAGGTGACTGGATGGACATTGAGTCATTGTCTGGACCTTTGACTCAGAGTTTACCTAACACTCAGGACAGTGTAAGTTCCACATCAGAAACGGATGGAAACATCACTCGCAGCACAATCTGGGTCCCAGGCAGTACTCATATGTAGCTGTCCGGATGTTCAAAGTGCTTTTTCCACAAAGCAGTTTGAATCAAAGTAGCCGAAAGAGAACAGGTAAAGTTTTTTTTTTTTTTTTTTTGGTTTTTTTCGAGACAGGGTTTCTCTGTGTAGCTTTGCGCCTTTCCTGGAGCTCACTTGGTAGCCCAGGCTGGCCTCGAACTCACAGCGATCCGCCTGGCTCTGCCTCCCGAGTGCTGGGATTAAAGGCGTGCGCCACCACCGCCCGGCGAGAACAGGTAAAGTTTGCAGAGGTCAGTGGAGTCAGAACAAGCAGGGTTGGTGCCTCCTGCTTCTCTGTGCCTGCTTCCTCTCTGCCTGCCAGGAAAGGCTCCAATCCAAGGAATGGCCTCACATAGCCGGCTGCCGCCTGCTCTAATGGACATGCCTTGGAGAGCTCCATATGCTTTTGGGAAATCGGAGACTCTGCTAAATATCTCTTAGAGGGCCGGAGCAGCCAGGATTGAGTATTGGCCAGAATTTCACTCCAGATATCATTGTGCGAGCCCTCAGCCCCAGGCAGGCTGCACAACACAGAGGTGAGCTGGGAAACCCAAGCAGCAGCCGTTAAAGTGGCGAAGCTTAGATGCTCCCATGTCCTTACAAAGGGGCAACCACTTGGAGTTCATCAGTATAGCCGTGGCAACCATGTTCTTCTTTGCACACCCCAGAGGCGAGGAGCTTGGAAGGGAGGGTAGGGAGATCCTCTTCACCTATGGAGAGAAGAAAGGACAGAGCTCCATGGTCAGTGCATTTCACCGGTCCAGACCCCAAGGCCACGACGTGGCTGAGATTCGCTCTCGTACGTTGTGCCATAGCCAGACATCAGAACCAGCTCAGACCAACTCTTTCATCCTCCTAACAGGATCTAGTCCCCTTAGGAGAGGAAGGAAGAGCCTTCTTTTAAGGCCAAAGTTTTGGGAGCGTGGCTCTAAAAAGTTACAGGTGTGGCAGATTCCCTAGGCTCTCTGGGAACGAGCCCTCCTACCTGGGGTGCTGTGTAAAGCGAGGATGGAGAAGACTGCGTTCACAAACCTGCCCAGTGCGTGTGTTTTGGTATTCCAATCTCTTCAGAAAGATTCAGTGCAGAAAGGCAATGCAGGGCTGGTGAGATGACTCTGAGTTAGGAGACTGCCACCAAGCCCGACAACCTGAGTTTAATCTGTGGGACCCACATGGTGGAAGGAGAGAATCTACTCCCACCAGATACCCTTTGATCTCCACCCGTCTGCCATGGCACATGCCCCACCCCCACCCCCGTGTGTGTGCACACAGAAAATAAACATATTTTTTTAAGGTAATACTGTGTGCAAAAGTGTGTATAACACTGGTGGAGGGTCTGAGCAGCTCACCATAATTTATCATCATCATTTCTGCAGTTCAATATTCCCCCCTTACCTGGAATAAATCAAGACTATCAGAGGAGCTATGTTATTTCCTATCGGGTTTCACTGCCCAATAAGGTACCTAAATTGGGGATGGCTTTCAAAAGTGTGGCCAAAGGCTATATGGCCTGTATCAAGAGCCCAATCCCTAGACAGACACAGTGGTGCACACTTTTAATCCCAGCACTCAGGAGGCTGAAGCAGGTGGATCTCTGTAAGTTTGGGGGTCAGGCTGGTCTACACAGTGAGTTCCAGGATTGCCAGAGTTGCATAGTGAGACCCTGTCTCAAAAAAAAAAACAACCAATAGATGGTTGGGTGGATGGGTGGACAGACGGATGGACCAACGGACAGACAGATAAAATGAGGATGGATGGATGGATAGATAGATAGATAGATAGATAGATAGATAGATAGATAGATAGATAGACAAAATGAGGGCCCAGTTCCAGGGCACCTTACCTAGGCCAGAGGAGGAAGATACACTCTCGGTCAGGGAAGATGTTTCCATCTGGTCAGGGGAGAGTCCTTCCATCAGAGGCAGAGACAACTCTGATGAGGGCACAGAGGAATCATATATGCCTGAGTCCCGCGGCATATCCGAGGGAATGCCAGCTTTCACTGCATGCAACAGGGGCAAGGCAGGGCCACTCTCGCAGATGGGCTGGGCCTCAGTATCCTGGTCCAGGCTTGCATGCTGATTTTCCAGGTACGAGTATGAGTCAGCTGGCCTAGGGGCCCCAAGTATAGCAGCCTCAGCTTTTAGACAGAAGTCACTCTCTGGCCCTGGTTTGGTTATGACATCATTTAAAACCAAACCGGAGTCAAACTTCTCCAGGACTGGCTCCTGGTAGCGCACAGCGGGAGGAGGGAAGGGTATAAACTGCTTCTCGAACCAATCAGGTTCCTCATCGATAAACTGGTGCATGTTGCAAATGGCAACATACAAGGAGCGGCCAGACTTGCTCCGGAAGTAGTTCCTTCTACTGCTGTGGTGTCCTGGGTGCTGAGCCAGCCCCTGAAGGCTGTGCTCTCCCGAGTGCAGATGGGAACACAGCTCGGGAAGGTTGTCCATGAGCTTGTATTTGGTGCTCAGGTCCAGAACGCAGGGGACATCTCCTTCACAGGAATAATCAAAGTAGACAGCGATAAACTTGCTCAGTGCTGCAGATGAACTCTGCTTGGCCTGACGGAGCCTTTCCGCAATGGCGGCCACAGCCACGAGGAAGAGCTCTCCTTGGCCCGTGCCTCGACTGCCTCCTTTGTGTTTGTAGTTCTTCTTATCTACGAAGTACTTCATGCCTTTGGAGCACACGACAATGATGAACTGGGACTCGTGGATCTTCTGAATGACCCATTCTCTCTGCCCTTCTCTGCAGAGGCTGAGATCTTCCCAGAGGTCCAGAGCCACCTGGAAAGAGGACAGGTCACCTCACTGCTTATTTACACCAACGTCCAGAAAGAAGACTGGAATGCCAGTGAGTGGGGTCCCATAATCTGCCCCTTAGCCATTATTAGCAGGGATACGTGAAGGCGCGCGCACACACACACACACACACACACACACACACACACACACACACACACAGAGAACAGCTAAAGCTCTGTGGTTAGCAACTGCATTCACACACCAGACTTCCTGAAATGCCTGCCATCCATGGCATCGCCTCGATAACATGTTGGGTCATTAACACTGCTGCCCTACAAGTGAAGAGACAGAAGCCAGGGTTTCCAGCAACTTGTCTAAGAAACCTTGAGAATGTCCTCATGGAATCTGCACAATGATAGAGAGCACAGAACGGGGAGGAACTGAGAATAGTGCATATGATGAGTGAGGCTTCCAGATCTAAAGAGCAGAAAGACCCTGGGGACAAGGCTAAAAGGCCCTGAGAAGAGGATGTGGATAGTGACCCCAGAGTGTACTAGGAAATGGGGCTTGGACCTGGTGCCAGGGCCACCCACAGAGACAGGTGACTCACATGCAGCGTGTGACTAGGAAAGAGGGCCTCTGTGGCCATGTTCACAGACCCAGGGTTAGCCCACTGTTCCGCTGCTGTGGTGTTGTTTCTGGTTAACCCTGTCTGGATTAAGTACCGTCCTCTACCGTTTCATAGAGGTCTACAAGCTCGACAAGGCCTGTGAACCGGAGGGTTTGGGGGTAAGAGGGTCAAGGGAGCAGTGGAATCTCTGGTAAAGAAAAGAAAGCCAAGCATGTGTGAGCCTCTCAAAGGATTTCACCTTTCCAGCTGCTTTCATCTGAAACTGTAAGGAGCATTCCTCAGCAGCTGTACCGGCACCTTTTCTCCTGTAGCTCAAAAAATAATTCCTAACAGCTAAACACGGATTAGGGGAGGGGCGTTCCAATATCTACCATCTGCTAAAAAAATACTGAATATCTCATACTCTATTAACATTATACAAATTCAAGCTAACTGGTTTTTTGTTTTTTTGATTTTTTTTTTTTTCCAAAATAGGGTTTCTCTGTGTAGTTTTGGTGCCTGTCCTGGAGCTCACTCTGTAGACCAGGCTGGCCTCAAACTCACAGAGATCCACCTGGCTCTGCCTCCCGAGTGCTGGGATTAAAGGCGTGAGCCACCACCGCCCAGCCTAACTGGGTATTTTAAAAATACATGAACTCTAGGTTTATATATCATACAAAAATAGTTGTACTAATTTTTTTTTTTTTTTGTATGTGTATTGGTGATTGGTGTGAGGATCAGGGATCAGATCTCCTGGAACTGGAGTTACAGACAGGTATGAACTGCCATGTGGATGCTGGGAATTGAACCCAGGTCCTCTGGAAGAGCAGTGCCCTTAACCACTGAGCCATCTCTCCGGCCCTTGTACTAAATTTTTGATCTGTGTTTTGTTAAGCCATGTGTGGCATAATTTACAAAACTGTAAAAACTCTGTCCAGGGCTGATTTCATCTTAATAAACAAAACGTAAGTGCTTTTGAAAACATACCTTTCTATCTCTGACTGGGCAATTGCAATGTGGGGCGTTCTGATGATGGAGAAATCATCAGAAATGGGCCGGCCCAGAGAGCAAGAAGCTTAACAACTTGGACCAACTCAGCCATCGTTAAGTCAATACCGTGGATGGTGCAGCTATTTAAAAAAACAAACTGTATGTGCAATCTCATCTGTGCACAAAAGAACAGGGCACACATACGCCACTCATGTCTGTGCTACCCGAGCATGTCAGGTCGCTGGCTGCTGTGGCAGCGTTCACCTGCTAGGCTCAAGGCTTCCCCCCACAGGAGGAAATCCCACCAGCTTGTAAATACATCTTCTTAACACCAGAGGGCATTCTCACCAAAGAAATGGGCCAAATGGCAGTTCAAAGTAGAGGAACTACAAAATATTGCATGATAACTGTTTTTGTGACAAACAAATGGTATGCCTTCCACAATGGTTTCAGACTTCACTCACTCTTTAAGCTACATGTTCATGGTTAAGAGGGGCTAAGAAAACTGGGCATATGGGCTCAAGCCTTTAACCCCAGAACTTGGGGACAGAAGTACGAGAATTAGAGGTCAGCCTGGTCTACATACGGATTCAGGATAGCCAGAGCTACACAGTGAGAAAAACCAAACAGGAGGAGGAGGCAGAGCAGGAGGAGCAGGAGGTGAGAACTAAGAAACCCGTGTAGACATTCAAACACTTGGCAAACTCTGGAGCCTTCTCCTTTCATGCCCTGGTTCTCTCTAGCCACTGTCTTCTCACTGGTTTCTCCCTGTCTGTGACACAGGAATCGACCTCAGCCCTCCCAAGATCTCTTCCAAGGGCATTGCCATCCTCCATCCCCAATCTCAGCAAAACTCCTTCAGAGAACTGCCTACACTCCGTCTCTCCCGATGCCCCCCCAACTGAGGCTTTGATCCTGCAGGTGCTCGACATGATGTCCAGTGACAGTCTCACATTCTGGTCACATGTTCCATGGCAGGGCACCCCTTTTCAGCACCCAAAAAACATCCTACCATGTGGATGCCAGTCAAGGGTTTCAAGCAAGACTATATAAGAAACATTTCCTGCTGGTGACAGACAGGACAAACTCAGACTGACCCTGGTTTGGAAAGGAAAGCACTGGGCAAAAGCAGGTTTCCAGAAAGCACTGGAGAGGAAAAGGCATTGACGAGGAAGATGGAGCTCAGATCCTGCCCAGAGCAAGAGAAGAAACTGGATTCCGCACCTCACAGCCACAAAAATCCTGGAGGAAGTAGGCAAAACACTGGACCACATTCATGTGACTCTGGCCATCTTTACTGGAGTAACAGAGGAAGACCTTGGGCCGGGGCCGGAGCCTGTCTCTGGGGAGAGCCGCAGCGTATGTGGAGGACTCCGGGCTTTCTTCATCTAAATGTGAATATATATTTTCTAAATTGGGAGAGAAGATAAGGTTGACACCTATAAACAAAGCTTTGTCTTTTTCCACATGACCTGGGTGGGTCTCAGTGTCTTCAGGCAATGAGCGGCTAAGCTGGGGCACCGTGGCCCACAACAGGAATCCCAGCACTTGGGAGGCAGAGGCAAAAAGGTCAGAAGTTCAGGACCATCCTCAGCTACACAGCAAGTTGGGGGCCAGCCTGGGCATTACATGAGACCTGGTCTCAAAAGTAAATTCACCAAAAGAAACAGTTGACATCCCCATCTAGGGAGTCTCTGGTCTGCAGAAACTGATGTCTTCTTCACAGTGCAGCTTGAGGCAACTTGAGGAGTGAAAAAACGGTTTTAACCTGAAACTGCCCTTGGATGTGTCAAGAAATGTTGCAGCAGCCGCCACTCACATCAGTGAAGGGCTCTGGCAACCTAGTCAACTAAAGGATTAGCGCAGGGAAGGAGAATTGTTTACTGATAATTTTTAAAAAGTGAAGCATACCGAAACAACAACAGAAGGACTTTTTTCTTGACAGAAGGTCTCACTCTATTAGCCAGGCTAGCCTCCAATTCCTGGATTGAAGTGATCCACCTGCATTAGCCTCCAAGTGGCTGGGACACCAAGTTGGTCCCACCGTGCTTAGCAGAAAGTACACAAGTCTCAAGTGAACATCTTCACAACCTTTTTGTAAGTTTACACCTGAGTGACCCCACCCAGACAGACCAAGATATGGCTTGCCTATAGTTTTCCAGTGAAATGTCTAACTCATCAATGATGAAGCCCTCCATATGACTCCATTCTCAGACTTCAGACTTCCTGAGTTTGAGAATGGGATTATATGCCTGTCCATTGCCAGGTCCTAGAGATTAACAGCCAAATGTTTGGATTCTGGGAACTTAAGTAGGCAAGGAGCTGGCAAGGACGTCTGAGGTGCCCCAGGCCCCTCCTGGAGGAACCAGGGCTTCCCAGGCTCCCTCTTCGTTGGCACCCGCCCTTGACTTGCCACAAACTAGAGGGTGGGGAGGAGAGGGCCCTGCACAGAGACAAATGAGACAAATACCTTGCTGTTTCTTTCTGCACATCACAGTGAAGAGCGTAGCGAAGGCGGAGATGACGACCAGAGGCACAGTGATGGCCACAGCTCTGATGGGTCCCGCCCAGGGAGAGTGCACTGGGAGAGTGCAAAGGGAGAGCTGTTAAACTTAAGCAGCAAAAACGGGCTCAAAGACTGGGGGGGGGGAATCCCCCTTTTTGTTTTTAAACATAAGCTGACTAACAGGTCCCAGGGTCCCCAACCACCTCCCTCTAGCTCTGCAGTGGCGATTCTAAAAGGATCCCACAGCTGTTTTTAAAGGGTTGTAGGAAAGAATTATTCAATAGTTCTGAATCCGCTAGGACAGTAAATACCCGGGAGTGAGAACTTTGCCCTCCTTCCTACGACTTTTCTTCCGAGGACAATCGCCTAGGCTCGGCAGAAGCCAGGCCCGCTTTGATCTTCAAGGCGCCAACATGAATGTGGAAGGGAACTCACTCACTCGGTGAGCAATCATTTGAGAGAGAAGACGCGGCGGTGTTGTCTTGTAAACCAAGACAGTAGAGAGGACAGGAAATACCAGGAGCCTGCTCTAGAGAGGGACAGCAGACCCAAGGCGGAGCACGCGGCGCCGGCGCCATACCTGGCCTCACGGCGTACTGCACCACTTTCCTGGTTGTGTTGTTGTCGTCCACCAGCTGCGGAACAGAGAGTGCAATGTCACCGCAGAGTTTCTACGGGGATGCGGTGAACCGGTGACTCCGCTGCTTCGCCTCACTGGCGATGGGAACACAGCGGGAGAATAATGGCGGCGGTTTAACACTTTTTAAGTCAACCGTTTTAAAAAAGAAGGCGCTGCGGAGCTGCCTCAGTGGATAAAAGTATTTATCGTGCAAGCTATGAAGACCTGACCCCAGGGCCTGCATAAAAGTCAGGAACCTAGTATGAGCGTCCATTATCCCAGGAGGAAGAAACGGGAGAAGTTAGTTATTCAAAGTCATCCTCAGCTCTAAAGGGAGTTTGAGACTAGCTGAGCTACATGGGACTCAAGTCTTAAAACAAACAATTGAAAGACTCAAAATCCTATGGGAACTGCTCCCTGTGGACATAACAACAGGGCATTCAATGACTGTACGTACCTCCATGACATAACCCCCTGGAGAAACATTTTGGAGGAGGCAGCTGCTTGTCTCTGTGTTCTGGTCCTACAAAGAAGTAAAGAGAAATTCAAATGCCCATCTTAGAAAAGGCCTCAGTCCTCTTCTTCCTGAAGCTGAAGGAAACTTGCCACTGGTTTTGAGCACACTTAGTTTAAAAACGAAAAACACAACAAACAAGGGCCATTGATCTGCTAGTGACTTGGCTCAAGATCTGTGTTTTCTACTTCTTAGCTATTGACCTCCAGCAAGTCAAGTGACCTCCTTGAGCCCCAGATTTTCCACCTACAAAGGATGAACAGAAGCGGCTGTATGATGAGCAGTCAGGATTTGACGAGCAGAAAGCTCTGGGATTGCCACACAGCACCTGGCAGATGCTTAAAACACAATACAAACTAGAAATTTGGATGCCTTGGTTCTGTGTCACCCCAAAACATCCAAAGTGGGGATAACTAAGAGCAATGGTAAGTAGGCTGGAGACAGACCCAGTGGTGAGCATTCCTAAACACCCACTGACCACAGGAGCTTAACACTTACCTCAGCCACCCAATAGCACTTTGAAACATGTGTGTTCCTTACACACACAGTCGCTCGCTCACCTGCTTGCACGTCCTCCGCCTGAAGGGGCCTTCATGCTTGAGCTTATAGTGAAGATAGAAGCCACGGAAGCCAAAGTTATGTGGCGCGTGGTCAAAGGACACTTGTACGTCTGAACCGTGCTGGGTGATAGTCAGATTCCGAGGCTTCCAGACTGTGAGGAGGGAGGACCCAGTAAGCACCCAAAGGCTGCCCCAGCACCATATGGGGTAACGCTTTGAGACTTAACAGACAGCTCTACTTACAGGGCTTACAGGCCATGTTGTCTGGTTGTAACAACAGGTCGCAGGCTATTATGTTAAAAAAAAAAAAAAAAAAGATGGCTATTTTTAGTTTCAGGACAGTTTGATGTTTTCCTTCTATAACAACTGAACAAAATATATACTGGGCTTGGTGTGCTGGAAAAGGTACAGGTTACATCAATTCAACAACGACTTTTGTTACAATTATGTTGTATCTTAAAACAAATTTAAAGGGGAAAACATACAAACATTAATGCAGAACATTTCACGCCACCTAGTGGAAGTGGTGTAAAGCCACCAAGGATTTTAAAGCTTGTCCAATTCTGCAGAGCTTCAAGGCTCCAAAGGCAGTGGAGCTCTTCACACTTCTGTCGCTCAGGATGCCCTACTGTGGGGATGTCTACACACAAGAGGGCTCTTGAGTGGGTCTGGTAACCACGGAGATGTCATTTCAACCTTCACATGCATTCTAATTTTTAGACATGATTTCTCATAAACACATTCTTTGAGTCTTCTATCCGATCATTATGTAGAAAGTAACAACAGATGTGACCTGCACATGGTCTTGACCTAATGAATATCTTTTTTTTTTTTTTCAAGACAGGGCTTCTCTGTGTAGCTTTGCGCCTTTCCTGGATCTCACTCTGTATAGACCAGGCTGGCCTCGAACTCACAAAGATCCACCTGCCTCTGCCTCCTGAGTACTGGGATTAAAGGTGTGTGCCACCACTGCCCAGCGAATATCATTTTAATTAGAAGAATAGGAAATACAAAATAAGTTGGCAGCATAGAAAACAACCTCATTAAGAAATTGACAAAGGGCTGGAGGGATGCCTCAGTGGTTAAGAGCACTGACTATTCTTCCAGAGGACTCAGGTTCAATTCCCAATAACCACATGGCAGCTCACAACTGTCTGCAACCCATTACAAGAAATCTAACATCCTCACACAGACATACACACTGGCAAAACTCCAGTGCACACAAAATAAAAACAAAGAACAAAATAAAAAAATAAAAAAAAAAAACCCCACAACTTCGAAGGGTAGTGGTGGTGACAGTATACATCTTTGATCCCAGCACTCAGGAGGCAGAGGCAGGTGGATCTCTATGAGTTTAAAGCCAGTCTGGTCTACAGAGTGAGTTCCAGGACAGCCAAAGCTATAGAGAAACCCTGTATCAAAAAACCAAAACCAACCAAACAAAAGAATTTGACAGAAGGGAACACGGATACAGGCTAGGGCTGAGACCAAACATCTCACAGATGAGGAATACAACAAGACCAGTCACAAGGAAAGGGCAGGCCAACCTGGACAGAGAGCTGGCCACCCAAGACCTAGGTGAGAAGTCTGATCAGGAGGCAGGAGGAAGCCACTGAAGGTCTCATGGTGACTAGCCACCAAATTTCAAAGCTGCCATTTGGGGAGATGAACGAGAAGCCACATAAGGAATAAATGGAAAGCCAGCACGGTTGGCAGCCGGCAGTGTGGGCTTCAGAACTGCGCTTCTCAGCCAAGCCCCTGGCCTCTCTGTGTGTGAATGCACACCTACTGAGTGTATGGGGGGAGGGGGTTTTCATGGAGGGAGTATTACAGAGGTGGGCTGCACTAATATTTAGAAAGCATTTAGAATAGAGACTGGATAAACTTTAGTGTTAATTTAGTAAAATTTTCTAGAAAAAAGTGGTCTTAGGTGTGGATTTTTCAAATTACATTTGTTTATTTTATATGTGGGGCATATGCATGCCACAGCCCACATGTAGAGGTCAGAACATCAGGGGACAACTTTGGAGAGTTGTGTGGTGATATTTTACTTTACTTATTATGTATTATCCCCAATAAAGCTTATCTGGGTATCAGAGGAAAATGTCAGCCACTATATTAAACATAGAGGTCAGGCAGTGGTAGCACACGCCTTTAATCTTAGCATTCGGAAGGCAGAGATCCATCCAGATCTGTGAGTTCAGGGCCACACTGGGAACATAGCCAGGTGTGGTGGCACATGCCTTTAATCCCAACACTAGTTAACCATAGGGATCTGGAGGTCTGGACAGACAGACAGACCTGGGCAGAAAGAGGAAGTGATGTAGCTGGGTGGAGAGAGGAAATGAGATGGCAGGGCACAGAAAGGTATATAGGCTGAGTATAGAGGAAGCAGCTCTCTCCTGGGCTGAGGATTTCCTAGCAGTAAGAACTTGCAGCTGTGGCTTGTTCTATCCTTCTGATCTTTCAGCTTTCAGCCCAATATCTGGCTCTGGGTTTTTTATTAATAAGACTGTTTAGCAATTTGTGTTACATCATTCGTCTTACCGAGTTGGTTCTCTCTTTTCTCATGTGGATCCTGTGAACTGAACTCAAGTGGTCAGGCTTGCTGGCAAGTGGATCCCTGTGCCACCTTGCCAGCCTGAGATACTGCTTTTACCCTCATCCTGACCACCCTCATGATGTTACAACATTTTATCTTTTTACCCTTTACTTCAAAAATCAACTTATACCTTTTATTCCTAGGCTGTGTTTTTGTTTGTTTTTAAGTCACCTCTCAACCCTTTTTTTTTTTCCTTTAATGCTAGAGATCAGAGGGCCTTGTACAAGCTAGGCAAGTACCCTACAAGCAAATTACAAAATCACACCTGCCAACAAGTATCACATTGCTTTTATACATGGATGTGTTCATGGTGATCACAGTGTCATCAAAAGACAAATGTTGGGCCGGTGAGACAGCTTGGCAAATAGAGGCATCTGCCACCAAGCCTGATGACCTGAGTTTGATCCCCAGGACCCAAATGGTAAAAGGAAAAGACCAATTCCTTCAAATTCTCCTCTGACCTCTACACCACACCATGGTGCCTATACATACCTACACACACACACACACACACACACACACACACACACACACACACACTGTGGAACCCCCCCCATACATATGCACACAAAATATATAGCATGGTGGTGCATGCCTTTAATCCTAGTACTTGGGAGGCAAAGGCAAGTCCCTGTGAATTCAAGAGCAGCCTGGTCTACAGAGTGAGTTCTAAGATAGCCAGAGCTACACAAAGAAACCCTGTTTCAAAAACAAAACAAAACAAAAACAATGATTAATTAATAATAATAAATGTTTGCCTTTAATCCCAGCACTTGGGAGGCAGAGCCAGGCGGATCTCTGTGAGTTCGAGGCCAGCCTGGGCTACCAAGTGAGTTCTAGGAAAAGGCACAAAGCTACACAGAGAGACCCTGTCTCGAAAAACCAAAATAATAATAATAATAATAATAATAATAATAATAATAATAAATGTTTTAAAATATCAGCTGACATCTGGCATGGCAGCATATGTTTGTAACCCCACTTGGGAGGCAGGGCAGGACTGTTGTAGTTTGAGGCCAGCCTTAACTATATAACTAGGTTCTAGAATCAGGTCTCCAGAGTAAGACCTTGTCTTACATTAATAAGTAAAGAAACAAATGAGAAACAATATGGAAATAAACCATTCATGCCTGATCTAAAACTAGGTAGAGAGAGGTATCTCTAGTTGGGCTGGCCTAATGTTTTGGTTGGTGTGTTTTCTTTGTATTAGGCTAGGATCTTGCTAATGCAGCCCGGTCTGCATTAGCAAATCTGTCCTCAGATTTGCAGTGATCTCCCTGTTTCTCCCTCCTGAGTGCTGAGATTATAGGCATGTGCTGCCATGTGGGATATTCCTTTACATTGTGCAAATATGTGTCACTGTGATTGGTTTAATAAAGAAGCTGACTGGCCAATAGCTGGACAGGATAAGGTTAGGTGGGAAAACCAGACTAAGGACACTGGGAAGAAGAAAGGCAGAGTCAGAGGAGTCATCAGCCAGACACGGAGAGAGGAAACAAAAGGTGTAAGATAAAAGAGAGGTTTATGCCACATGGTAGGATGTAGATTAATAGAAATGGGTTAATTTAAGTTTTAAGAGTTGGCTAGTGGGGTTGGGGATTTAGCTCAGTGGTAGAGTGCTTGTCTAGCAAGCACAAGACCCTGGGTTCGGTCCTCAGCTCCAGGGGGAAAAAAGAGTTGGCTAGTAACAAGCCTAAGCTGTTGGCTGAGCATTTATAATGACTATTAAGTCTCTGTGTGGTTATTTAAAAAGTGGATGACAGAACAGATCTGATTGTGGTCCCAATGAAAACCTGTGACTATACTACCATGTCCAGCAAATAACTGCTAACCCAGCACATGCTAGGTAAGCACTCCACCACAGATGCAGCCTGCTAACTGTTACTTATTGATTTCCTTTTTATTATTTTATGTGTATGGGTGTTTTGCCTGCATGTATGTCTGTGCCTGGTGTCCACCAAGGTCAGAAGAGGGCACTGGATCTCTGGAACTAGAATTATAGATGGTTGTGAGCTGCCAAAGCAGGTGCTGGGAATCAAACCCAGATCCTCTGGAAGAAGAGCCTGTACTTAGTACTGAGTCAACTCGCCAGCCCTTAGCTTTTATTTTTGAAAATGCATTTCTGAGCTGGTATAGTGGCTCATGCCTGTAATCCTAGCATTCATGAGGCTGAGGCAGGAAGACTGACATGATGTTTCTTCTGACATGGGCTACCTTTGAATTCCAGGGCAGCCTAGACTGTAGAGAAACCTTGTCCCGTTTTTCTTTTTTTAAATGTAAATTTGCTTCTCACCCTACTTACTTCACATCAGTATCTGGTGCATTTGTAAATACGTCTGTGGAGAAATCAATGGAAGTAGAAATGACTCCTTTGGGAGCCAGGCAGGAAAGACAATACTCACCCCGGGTTCTGAAGAAGAAAGGATGGTAATTGCTTTCATTTTTAATGGAAGGGAAGGGGACAATCTTTACAAAGTAATCCGTTTCAAATTTCATATTCAGGAAAGGCTGAGATTCCATTCCCTAAAAGGGAACAAAGACACACGTATTGTGGAGGAATTGTCCACCTCCGCCCCCACCCCTACCTACAAAAGACACAATTCCAGGGTGAGCAGATCCCAGGCGAGCAGAAAGTCAGGTCTGCTTGAGGAACTGAGGTTGGGTTTGGGTCCCCGATGCTAAAGATGGACAGTGCTGTCTGTTCTTAGACAAGAAAGCGTGGCACCTCAGTACTGAGTCTCTGAGCTGGAGGGAGCAAAGGGCGAGCCCACAGACGCCTGGGATAGATGCTGCTTCTGTGTAAGCAGAGAGGTGTGTTTACCACAGCTGAAGAGCCCTGCTGAAGAGCTTTCCTGGGAGTGTGGCAGGCTCGGTGGCTGCTGCCTCCCATTCTCGCCCACCTTGGCTGGGCTGTGGACCCCACAGCCGCCCCCACCTTCTCCAATTTCAGACTTTCAATAGACCATTCAGACCCCCAGAACAATGGTGTCTTCAGGGGCACGTTCCCCGAGGGTGACTTACCGTTCTTTGGAAGCTACTGTTGAGCTGTTTCGGGTCCTTTAGAATCAGTTGTTGGCACTGCCTTCCCTCTGACTTCAGCTCCTCCAGTATTACTCGAAATCCTTTCAGGAATTCAATGCCTAAGCAAAGCAGAGGCTTTTAGGAAAGGCAGACCTACTTACTTCGGAACACCCTTTCCCTCCTCCAAGGTGGCAGCCTCTCCAGCTCTACACCAAAGCTAAAGGACATCCTCCTCTGCCAGCGAGTCTACAGAACAGAACGCACATCCTTCATTCCCTCCTCCGGGACAGGGTGAGTGATTGCTGTACCTAATACGTTCTCTAGCCCACTCGGCCACTGGGACCAACATCTGTTGCTTGTGTGACACTTGGATTCAATGTTTAGGCTCAAGTCTAAACTGATCACAATGTCTATAGTGGAATGTATAATTTCAGGCACACTGAGCTGACAGTAATTCCCGGTGAATGCCCCCAAACTTTGTTTTTAACCTGAAGTTTTAGCTATATACTTTCCTGATGTGTTCCACTGGGAATTTAACAAAATTCCCAACGAAGTGTATGTCTGCACCCAAGAGGGCTCCTGGGCTTGGGATTAAATATTTTAGGGGAATGCTGGTCTTCCTCTAATCATGCCTGAAATGCAGACACCCACCCGAGGGCTGCCCAGTGTGTGCTCCGAATTCAGTGCTCAGGGCCCCAAGACGCCCACAGTGCCACTGAAAGGCAGCGGCCCAGCCTCCCCACCTGAGCTTCCTCCCACTGCACATCTGACTAGATGCTTTCAGGAGGATTAAGCTCTGATGGCCACAGGAGCCAGCACTGGGGCTCTGTATCCCATGGAGACTGGCGTGGCCCAAGTGCAGCTGGAGATCCCCAAAGCTGGCCTTGATTGTCGAGATATCGATTTCACATTCCTTCTGAACACCAGACAAGGAGACATTTTCAACCCTTCCCCTCCCAGGGCAGAAGTAATTACACAGGATGCAATTAACCAGGTGGGGAAATTATTGATGGCAAAGGTCACAGAAATCTTTTTCTCCTTTGAATAGCTCCTCCAATTCTATAATTATTTGATGAAGAGCACATATTTCATGGTGGTTCAGGCAGAAAAGCCAAATTAGAGCCTCATATTGTAGAAGCTGGGAGTTCTATGGTGCATGGCGTTTTGTTAATCACAAAGCTTCCTGTGGGGTGATAGTCAGTGGATCCACAAACAGATTCAGACACAATGACATGATACAACATCTCTGCAGGACCAACTATTTAGACCTCACGGGAGATTGCCTTTTGGGACTGAAAAAGAAATGATGTTTGAACAAATCTTTACTACCTAAAAACTAAGATTTGATTCATGCAATGTTTCTAGAAAGATTGTTTTTTTAAAAAAGATTTATTTATTTATTATGTATACAGCATATGTGACTGCAGGCCAGAAGAGGGGGCCAGATCTTATTACAGATGGTTGTGAGCCACCATGTGGTTGCTGGGAATTGAACTCAGGACCTCTGGAAGAGCAGTCAGTGCTCTTAACCTCTGAGCCATCTCTCCAGCCCCCTCTAGAAAGATTGTTAACAAAAGGGAGGTGACTCAGGATTAAAAGCAAGCCTCTTACAATTACTTAAAAATGGATCAGCTCAGGTACGCAGCATCGATAGATAGACCTGGGCCTTGTTTCTCAAAAGCCAGGCTGAAAATCATAATACCAAATATGGGCTGAGGGGAGACTGAGGCAGCAAATGTAATTCCTAATACACATCTATCCTGAGCCCGTTAACACTGTGAGGCTGTGTGAGATCACAGGCGCTGTGTGCCCCCTGACAGAGACCTCCCCTGGAGAAGCACACTTGTTCTCTCCCTCTCATGTTGATGAAGGACTCTAACAAGCATGGGAGGCGGGTACCATTAATCCCATTTGCAGCTGACTGAGGAGAGGTTTAGAGAAACTGACTGGACCCTGGGATCACATGGTAAACAAAGGATCGAGCCAGGAAGTGTTGAGCTCTCAGCCACAGCCCTTAATCTATGTGCTTTCCTGACTTCCGAGGAACCGACTTGATGGAACCTGCCCACTCCACCTCCCAGCCCACCGTAAATCATTGTCCCTCTTCCCCCACTAGCCCACACCTTACGCTCTTCCTACAGAGGTTGCCTGCAGTTGGTCTGATCAAGGCTTAGCCATTTAAGCCTTCAAGGGAATGACCACTTCTTTTATCCAGAGGATATTTTCAATCTTTAAATGTTAAGAGAAAATGACGTTTGGAAAACACGTAAGGTCTAGACGCAGAAGTATTTCTGTGGACAGGCAAGTTGGCCCAACACCTCCGTCTTCCCTCCCCTTTCTCTCACTACTATACTGTAGTTCTGAGATTTATTCTTGTTCAGATTAAGAAATCTAGGCTAGGGGCTGGAGAGATGGCTCAGTGGTTAGGAGCACTGGCTGCTCTTCCAGAGGATCCAGGTTCAATCCCCAGCACCCACATGGCAGCTCACAGCTATCTGTAAGCCCAGTTCCAGGGGATCTGATTCCTTCACACAGATATATATGTAGGCAAAATATCAACACACATAAAATAAAAAATAAATCATTTTTTTTAAGGAAAGAAAACTAGGCTTTATTTTACTTCTCCCTGGGCAAGTGCTGAAAAAAATGTCCACGACCAGTGCCAAGTCAGAGGGCCAGTGCAGGGCTGGGATGGAGGTTCTGACAGTCGCAGTTGGTGTCCGACAACGTTCTCTGGCCACCAACCACAAGGCAATCTCCACCCCGTCTTGGCACTCGGGAAAACTAGGGCTCTACCAGTCTAAATGCCTCCTGTGAAGGGCCAATCGCAACCAAGCATGGCAGTACAGACAGAGGACCCCAGGCTTTGGGAGGCTCCGGCAGGAGAGATGGCAAGCGGAAGGCCAGCGCTGGCCACATAGCCAGGTCATGTCTCAAAAGACAAGAGGGAGCTGCTGAATATGCTGGGACACATTTTTCCTCCCAGCACTTTTGAAGTGGAGACCTGTGGAGGCAGGAAGATCAGGGTTTGGAGGCTATTCTGGATGACATCCTGGATGACAAAGTGGGTTTAAGTCCAGCCACAACTAATCACTTGTCTCAAACAATAAAAATCAAATAAACAGAAAGAAATTTTGCTAATCAAATTTACTTGAATGGGTTCAAAGAATCGTAGGTTAAGGGAGATGGCTCAGAGGTTAAGAGTACGAGCTGTTCTTCTAGACGTCCTGAGTTCAATTCCCAGCAACCACATGGTGGCTCACAACCAACTATAATGAGATCTGGTGTCCTCTTCTGGCATGCAGGCATATATGCATGCAGAACATTGTATACATAATAAATAAATCAATATAAAAAAGAAAGAAAGAATCTTAGAAGCAGGGTGGCGGTGGCACACGCCTTTAATCCCAGCACTCGGGAGGCAGAGCCAAATGGATCTCTTGTGAGTTCGAGGCCAGCCTGGTCTACAGAGTGAGTTCCAGGACAGGCACCAAAGCTACACAGAGAAACCCTGTCTCAAAAAACAAGAAGAAGAAAAGAAGAAGAAGAAGAAGAAGAAGAAGAAGAAGAAGAAGAAGAAGAAGAAGAAGAAGAAGAAGAAGAAGAAGAAGAAGAAGA